CAACATTATAATATTTGTATATAGATATTTTAATATTTTAACTGTAAAACGTATGTAAAAAAAGTGTATTAAAAATAATTTATTATTTTTAAGTATTGTATAATACACTAGTCATTGTTCAAAAATGAAATATGTTATAATATTATACGCGATGTCACCTATCCAATTTTATGGATGTGACGAATTGATCTAACGGAATCTATTTTTAATTACCTCTTGTGATTAAGAAAAAATATATACTGAACGTTAGAAATAGCTGTTTCGGAAACATACCGCAATGTATTAATTACACTCCATCTGACCGTGGCACAGGTAAAATAATAAAAGTTTATTGAAAATATGCAGGTGCTTAAATTGGCATTCGTTGTTCCGACGTAACAGTAACCCGGTTTAGTTTTCTTTCTTGAACGTATACGTGGGTGCTTTAAGTGGAAAATCATTAACGTTTTTCAGAGCCTATAATATATGTATACTGGGCAGATGAACCCAACCAAGTGGAAACGCTGACCATTCACGGTCTGTGGGTCACACCAGCTCATATTTATATATCCTCATCCTGGTTCAATGTATGGACACTATTATCATAAACATAACTTATGCATAAAGCCGTATAATATAATATAATATATTATAGTCTATAGTTTACAGGGCATGTCAAATTTACAATTTTATTTCCAGAACGTTAAATAGTACCTAACTATATTAAACTAGATACATTTTTTTTATATAGGTACTGGTGCAGTGAGTTGTGCCTTATTTTTTATATATTTAAAATGTAAATGTTCTATTCAATTATTCGATTATTCAAATATTTATTTTTTTATTACTTGAGATATTCGAATTTTGACAGCTGATAGTTATATTATTAATTATAATGGCCAAACTATAACTATTGATTGTAATTTAAAAAATGGATTTATAGGTAAGTTCTTTTTTGTAAATAAATAACATCATACTACGGCAAATATAGTTATTAGTTAGGTATATCGTATATTGAGGTCCGGGGATATTTTTAGCTAAATAAAGAAAATTATTTACATTAAATATAACGACTATAACGATACTTAATATTTCTTTTAATTTATAAAGTAGATATATTGTTTTATACAGTCACATAGAATTTTAGTTTTATCTGGAATAACTGTTAATAACAAATAATTATTATCCTCATGCACTAGGTATAATATATATAAAGACTTTTTTGAAATTTATATACTAGAAAGTAAAAAATAGTTATAAATGTACATTTCGACCACAAATTAAATTGGCACTGGTCGCCTTAATGGTTGTTTATTACTTTTAAACTAATATTGTTTTGTTGTTTTGTAGTAATTAATTAAATGATTTGAATGATAACATGTTAATATCTATGCTTCAAAAATAATCTTAGATAAATTATAATTTTACCAAAAAACTTGTTATTATAAGATTTTGTCTTTGTGTTTTTTTTTTAGGTTAAGGTTATTAGTTGTTCAGGTTGAAAAATCTAGTAAATAACTTCAAATATAGTAGATAGATATATATTATTATAAATATAATAAGTTTAAACGTTTAAATCGCCCAAGGTATTTTCATTTTTTTTTTAAAAATAATACCTATATGATTAAAAAATATAAAACTAACCATACATTTCTGTATTATTATCGAATAATACAACTATAGTGTTATAACTATAGTGCTATAAATTAGGATATAACCAATAGTTTTTTTAAATACATAATTTATTTTATAATTTTGATCGTAACTAAAAAACTACCTTTAAATTAGGTACTCTAAAAAGCAAAATTGTATTGTTAGTTTTGAATATTGACATGATATAGTAAGTAATAAGTATACCTATAAATGTATACAATATTGTAAATCCAAAATATATATAAACATTTACAAACAATAATAGGTAGGTACCTACTATTAATAAATAATGGTGACGTAATTTTAAAATTTGGGCCTGAGAGCGAAATATTCAACGGAGCCTCCTAATCCAGGTATATAAGGAGATCTGAATGGGTGCATTTGCCTTAGTAAAATTATTTTATACATTTTTAAAAAATATTATTGCATGTTTTATTAAATACATATATTATTATTATTAATTTAATACTTAATATTATGTACATACAAAACAATCAGTAAATAGTTATACTTATGACAAATAACAATTCAAATATATATGGATTTAAAATAAATTTGTGATACTTCGGGTCCCTATGCGAGCGGATCCGGGTGCGAACCTCTGATCCCTCTTAGTTACGCCATTGAATTTATTAAAAACATTAAATAATTATATTACACATCCGTCATCTACCCAGGGATTTCAAATTTCGATGTAGGTAAAGCCGAGTTCACATCTACGTCGCCTATCGTGTCGTGAACCTTTTAGCTTTAAATTGTATTCTCATTCTGAGTAATCGTTGAAACAATGGTATTATTCACTAACCAAGATCTACCGAGAAATTCCTAGAGTTGGGCCGAGCTCAGTTTATGAATTTGACGTGATTAGACGACGCGCGACGTAGCTATGAGCCCGGGTGTTGGGTGTACCATGTTCATGTATATAATATGTATAACACATTAATACCCTGCTAGCACAAAGGAAAGCGATGAGGCGTCGAGGCGATCGCCCCCCCCCCCCCGGAAAACTCCTGGATCAGCAGCTGAAATGCCCATTTATACAATATTGAATATACCAGTATAATATATTATATTATAGGCTAAATAATTATAAATTAAAAATAATACATACTATATTACTATGCATTATACAATAGTCAATAATATAGTACATTTATAACTTATAAGTCATAAGCTATATTGGCTTAACCAATGGTAGTGTTCACTCGACACTCGACGATTTTAATTTTTAAACAGACATCCTTCGTTTTTTGTAAAAAAAAAAAAAAAATAAATATAGTTTTGAACAAAATGTTATTTGCGGAATATCTGATATCGGTACGTATCAATAACTTAAATTGAAAATAGGTGATATATATGCAGACTGCATATATAACTGCACTACTGCAGAGTGTATCTATTTAAGTCATTGCAAACATATAGTTTGTTTATAATGATATTACGTATCAATGTACAATTTAATTTTAAATACGTAACTTTAGTTTTTGGTAGAATTTAAAATTTCTTACTTAGATGTCCAGATCTACATAATTTTTTTTATAAAAGTTGACCATTTTTTTTTATGGATGTAAGTATAGTTTAATGTAGTTTTTATTTTTCTAAATGAAACTTTTGATGGTCAAATCATTAACTTTGTTCGGTAAGTTCTTAAGTACTGTATTAATAATTTACTAGGTAGGTACTACTCTCTAAGGCTTAGTAAATTCATTAATAGTTTTAAATGAAACAATTGGAATTTAAAACTCACCTGGTGTAGGTATATATATTCCATGGTTTGTCAGCTGCAACAAGGACATAAGCTCCGTGGAAAAATGTATTATATCAACCGGTTAATTCGTTAGTCGCGAGCGTTGCTGGTCAGTCGGCTGTGCCCGTCTAAAGTTATAACGATGATAGTCCAGATTATATTATTATTTATATTATAATTGACGAATATTGTCACTGCAGACAACCGCACAAGCACAGGAAGCTGACGAACCAATTGTCGGTGCACTGGAAAAATATCATAATCAACGCGGGAGGAAACGTGCAACGGCCGGAAAACGCGTGCGGCGTGAGACTGAGGCCAGCGAGACCGTGCAGACTTCAGAGTCGGCGGCCGGGGAACGGTGATGAACTCGGACGTGTCGGCGGACCGCGCGCGTGATGTGAACCGGAAAATTCAATTCTCGTCCGTTTTTAGCGGGTCTCCTACTCGAATAGATCGTGACGACCCGCAGCGCCGCCAACCGTGGTGAGGTGATCGGGGGAATCCCGTACGTGCATGTCCGCCGGCACTGCGACGACGGGCCGCCTCTAATCAGTAGGACCACGACCATGGTTTAAGATAATAATTGGATTATTATGACCACGACCACGGCTATAGATTATCTATAGCCGTGACCACAACAACTAGTACCACAACCACAACCACATACTCGGCGGGTTTCTACGTGTGTACGTGCATACAAATCCTTTGCCGTGATTGATTGGTTAGGTTAAGTTACCACACGACTAACCACGATACCGTGTTGTTTTACATAGCTGAACATTTTTCGTGTACACGGCAAACGTGTATAGTGGAAACCCGCCTTTAGACGGTCCGTGATTTAAATAGTTAAGTTATAATGACGGACTAAGATTTGATATTTTAAATTTTGGTAATATTTAGTAAATATGCTATTATATAGCTAAAGATAGTAAGATATCAAACACGATCTGACTTTACTTGGCGTACAAAGCGCGACAAAATTACAAAAATTTAAACACCTATATTTTATCATGGTACATTGGCACAAAGAACATAACGTTAGACATGACGATTAACAAGTAGCAATATTTGTCCTGTCTTGTACTATTCGATTTTTATTATTTTATGCGTCGCGGGCGGCGGGCCGCAGTTGCTTGTTGGTTGTTGCAGCAGGCTTCTGAAAATTGAAATGCTGAATGCTGATCGTGGCAGCGGCTGATCGCCTATCGGACCTCGTTGTTATCAATATCCCCATTAGATTGTTATTATTATTATTATTTAATGTTTATGACTATGAGATAATAAATTTTTTTTACCATCTGACCATCATAACGTGTTCTACTATTCTACGCATTACGCACTATACATTTTAATAATATTGTACTCCGGCACTCCGCTTACATGCCGTCGATACTCGATGATCAGTCGTCAGTGAGTACTGAGTTGTCTGAGTCACGGATAGTTAACGATAGAAACATTGGACGAAACGTAATTTAAAAACGCTTTGTTGTGACAGTAGGCTATAATTATTGCAAGTATTGTTTGAGAATATTGTTGTCTAAAAATGTCCAGTTTGCTGTCCGCCGTTATTTCGGCCAAGCCAGACGTGCCATAGGGCTATATACGCTTGATAAGAGACATGAACAACGGTGACGACGAGCTGCACCGACCTGGCACAAGCAGAGAAGTGCTCTCTGATCAGAAAGAATCGTCCAGGTAACTGAATGCCTGATTTCATATTCTTCAATCCTTCAGTATCCATTTAAAAATGTCCTCTGGTTTTATTCTAGATTAAATAACAACGTAGCGCACAGCCATGAAGATCCCGATACTGAAAGTTGTCTTGATTGTGATACCCCTGAACAACACGACCACATGATAGCTGCCAGTTTAGTACGTTGTGACCAGGAAGATAGTGATTCGGATAACGATTCTTGTATTTACACTTATCGTGGTGATCGGCAAGAGCCGGCAATTGAAAACTTACCCATGGACGATAGAAGTACATCACCTTTGATGGATTACTTAGAAATGGACTTTGAACCTGAACCAACGGTTAATAATGTATCTGAAGATGAAGAGATTACTGAGCCAATGCCTAATAATGCAAAGTATATATAAATATTTTAAAGTTTTTACTTTAAATGTCACATTCTTATTTAATTAGCTTCAGTGGTGTGGAAAATGGTAATTTCAGAGACAATTTCCTCTAAGATTTTTAAATAGAGGGGTGGGTGGTAACCGGTGGGTCCCCTAGTAAATGTAATATGATATACCCAATAGGTAGTCAATAATCATAATAATTAGTTACTTATATTATATTAATACATTATTATGCGTTAATACTTGGAATATTTGTAACTTGCCTCCGGAAAATTTTTAGTTTGCAACCCCACTGATTGGCTTTATATTATATTAAAAGTTAACTATGAAAAATGTTTAATCAGTTTTTTTCTTTTTGTTTAACAGTGGTACAATGCTGTTAATAAAAGACCTAATAGCAACTGTAAATCCTAATACACGAGAAAATCATCTGAATATTAGAAATAATGTAACAAGTGAACCTATTATCAATCCTAACCTAATCCCTCGATTGTCATTTTCGAGTTCAGATATACCCATTCTACAATTCAGGACTCTTAATACTAATCTCCCTGTTTGTAAAGAAGACCGTAATAGATGTATGCGACGTTATTCTGATACAACGGTAAAATAAAATTTGTAGTGCTTAGTTAAAATTCTGATTATTTATCCATGTTAAATATTTTCATCAGGAGGTATGTCAAAAAATGAAAAAAATGCGTATTGATGATTTAACTTGGATTAAAGAAATGATATGGTCAGAAAAAGAGGCAGCTCAGCTTCAAGTGAACCAAATTGGTGTATCAGCGTGTGGGGCAACTGCAGTTGTAAATACTTTGGTAAGTTTTTTAATTTCAATAGTTTATGATTGGTATATTGAATAATATGACATACCATCATTTTTTAATTAAATTCATTAAAATATTATTAGCTCTTATTATTTACATGTATATGTTAAGGTGAATGTCAACATTTGGTGCATTTTGACATTCACTGAAATTTCTAGTGAATATCAATTTCTTCTTAGAAATGTATACTCCGGCCACGAGAGTCCATACGTAAACCGTGCATCGATATAGTAATACGCGACGTCTGTTTTCTCCCACCATGATGTCATTCCCACTATTCGGCAACATGTAGATGCGCAGAAACGGATGCGTTTGGACATATGGACTCTCGTGGGCTGGAGTATAGACATTCACTGGTGAATGTTGGCATGCACTATCTGTTTTTGATGAATGTTAACATTTTGTACAAAAATTATGAATAATGATAAAATAATTTTAACAAATTAATTCGGCACTCAAAGGGTTAATAAATTAACCATAAATTATTTTATTTTATATTATAAATTATTTGTTGCAACAAGATAAACTATTATGACATTTTGAGTTACATAAAAGTCCTGAGGATCTACAACTACACTTCTTCGATACACACTTTGCATCTTAAGTACCCCTGTCCACCTGTTTGAGAAATTGTAGTGGAAGCTTTCCTTAAGGACACAGATTATTTAGTAGCAACTTTTTCAGGAGATAATAGTTGTTCTTTACATACAGAAAATTGATTAGGGTGTATAATTGATATATTACACCCTCTTTTGTGCCTAGTTTTTAAAATTAATTATCGACAGCTACGACAATGGTTGAATTATCAGGAATCGACAAAATTCTAGTTAAATATTTGATATTACAATTAGAATTTCCATAGCAGATTGAGCCGTAGTCTAGTTTTGATTTAACTAATAGTCAACTATATAAATTTAATAAAATGGAGTTCTCAGCGCACCATTCTAGATGACTAAGAGTTTTAATTATTCTCAATAACATTAACCAAAACTCAATTATGAATGTCAATACTCACTGATAATCGTTGTGAATGTTGACATTCATCGGAGACTGTTGGTAAATTTTTAATATTCATTCAAAATGTTGACATTCATCAAAAACAGCAGTGAATGTCAAAATTTACCAAATATATACACAAAGGTGTAATTGAGGGTGCAAGAAATATTTTTAGCCTGTGAAAATAAATAATATGTGTTATAATAACCACATTATCCCAACAAGGCCCCCCACAAAAAAATGTATTTAGCTCCCCCAACAATTTTTGATTATTTAAGATCTAAAATTAATAATTTAAGCCTGAGATACTGAGATATATCTTATGCAATAGGTGAATGACGTAGAAAATTATTCAAAAGTCAACTGTATAAATATAAAATATTATGGTTTATTTTGTAATTCCTACGTAATTAATAATATTAATAATATTTATATCTAATAAGTATTACGCTGGCATGTGGCATTAGAATTGCGGCGGTTCATCACCCAGTATACTATATACCAACTCTCAGTATTCATGACTATAAATAAATAAATGGTCGATCGGTGTTTCGGGATCCGCCGCAGTACGTGCTAATGAATCGTGTGTGCAAACGGATAGTGAAAAATGAATGAAAAAAGAATGGTAATACTAATTTATTTTTGTATAGAATTTATTGAATATCGATGTGGAAAGTTTAAAGGCAGAATGATGGTTGCAAAAAATTAAAAAAAAAAATCTACAAATGATTAAATGTTGACACCTTTCAAAATGGCTGAAATTGTATCATCCAACACATTTACAAACGACCAAACTTATATAAATTGTTGAACATAGGTAATACAACCCCTACTAGTAGTGCTACTTGTGAAAGAGCATTCTCTATTTCTCTTCTATGCAGCAGGTAAAAAATTGGCTACGTTCAACCATGACGAAATAACATGTTATTTCGTCATGCGTTCAACAATGTCACAAGACCGTTTTTCTAATTTAGCTTTATTAAGCATAGAAAGAGATTTGACCAATACCGTAGACAGTGATACTGTCTCAGAACATTTTCTAGCTAACTATATGAAGAGACGAATAGATCTTAGTATTATAATCAATGACCTATGTGACCATATGATATTTAATGTACGACTTACAAGTATATCATTTTTTAATAGTATAGTATGGTAATAATTTGTTATGCTTGTTTTTTTTTTTAGTAATAATTATTTTGAGGTGGATTGGGCCGTGGGGGGTATGGGGGGGCTAGCCCTACATGACTCACATTTGCTAAATTTATTTGTAGGGCTTCAGCCCCCCTAATATTTTAGTCCTAGTTGAGACAATGAATAAATACGAAAAACATGAAATGAAAAAACCATTTAGTAACAGAACCTCAGAATACTAGACAATGGCGTTCGAATGATATTGTCAAATTTTTTTAACTTGCACTTTATCATTAAAAACATAATTTAAGGATTATAATTCAATTTATTAATTGAAAACATAAACTAAGTTTATTTATTGGTAACAATTGTACCTAAATTAGTAAATCAATTTTTCTTTTTTCCAGTTTATCTACTACCTACTTCACTTGGGGTTATATTTACAACTGTACATATAATAAACAACCATTATATAGATAACTCTATAGTAAAACATGATAATTACTTAATTTATAAATATTAAAGTTTTAAATTAACATTTTTAACATGCTAATTTTATATTATAAATATTAAAAAATGGGCATAGTCGATGTGGGATATATCGATGGCGTAGCGCACAAGTGTGATAAGTGACATTTTTTTGAAAAATGAGTTAAGTGCATAATCAACTTAATCATACAATTCTGCACATTATGCCCAAACGTTGTAAGTGAATAGTTCATTATTTACTCCAATAGATGTCGTACAGTTCGTTACATTTTTGAATTTGTTATAACATCTCAAACTTAAAAATCGTTCTCCTGAACAATTACGAAAATGTCACTTATCACACTTGTGCGCTACGCCATCGTTATTCCTCTCACCCTTCATAATAACTTACCGGTGTAACTAGACTTTTAACTTATAAGTTAACAGATCTCTGGATCAAATTTATTTCTTTTAATGCAATGTTTTTAAACAAGGAACGGGAAGATATTTTATTAATGAAAGTGATTGAGGTGATGTAGAATAACTTTTAGGTTTTGTTGAAATAAATGTGAGCTACCATTCACTAATAGATACCATATAGATTTATAACATGACATTTTAATTATTAGTTACTATTCATCGTATCAATTTTATGAATTATTCTATTGTAAATATATTTTAGTTGGCTCTAAGGACACAATTCAATTTAGACCGTATAGTTCAAACTATTGGCACCCGTTTACGTGATGAGACGGCTCCACTTGTTCCTTATTTGGAATCACGAGCTGTGGCTGGTTGCATGCCCCAAGATTTGGTTAGAACATTGGAAACCGTAACAGATTTACAAGTCAGTGCTAGGTTCTTTGCTACTCATCAATGTTTGGATTTAAATCTCGCCCCATGGCTTGCCACTTGGATAAAAAAAGGTAGCTATATTAACTAAAAAAATGCTAACTATAATTATGCTGTTATTTTATATTATTATAGGCGCTGTTCCCATATTGACATTAAATCTCCAACGTGTAGATGCTTCACCTTCTCTTGTGCCAGATAGTTGGCACCATCAAATGGTGTATGGAGTATCATACAATCCCTTACGTCCAGAATGTGCTCAAATTTACTTAACGAATCCACTGAGCATTTCAAGCTTGGAGTCGTTAGTTCCACAGTTAATTTCTCCATCTTCATTGATGATTAAAAGAGCTGATATATTATCTAGGTGGACCCCTCAAACAGATCTCATGTCCTTGGCCACACATCCTAGCCGACAATGGCATAGGTTTAATGTGTTAGGTATATACACTGACAATTTCTGTTTAAGTCATCAAAAATAATTCAATAACTATTGTTTTAGGGCAAGTAGTAAATCTTTTACGTGAAGAAAAAGAAAATGTCAAATTCACTGATCATATTGTCATACCGGCCAACTATAAGAGTGGTATAACTTTAGCAATGAAAACATCATCAAATTGTTGCCATGAATTGAAATCTGTGCCAGAACTATAGATAGGTACTATTAAATATGTATTTATTTATTATGTTGAAATAATTTTATTTGTATTATGTGTTTTATTGTGTAACTTATATTTGAATATAACATTTCATGAAAATGTAAAGTTAAATAATATTTTTTAAGCCAATCAAAGTTACCAACATAAAAAAATATTAGAGTAATAATATATTTTATGTTATAAAAATGGTGTGGTTAACTAAGATTGACAGAAAAAACATCAATTTTGATTTCTGACATTTAAATGTAAACAAACAGAATTTAATCCTTTCAAGTATAAACATATTAATATTTATTATTTATTAATGAACTGAAAGTTAAGTGTTGCAAATATAGCATTAAATTATGATGTATATAAATATATTCTATGCTACTTTTTGATAAAATATAATATATATTTAGATTATGAAATTATATTAATTATGTCAATTATCAGAGATACTAAGATCAACCAAGATTGAGATCTGTATCATACATTCAGTGATTGGAAAGTACAACAATTAAACAAAGGAAGTTTAATTCTTGTTCTCAACTATAAAATAGAAAAATATACTTTTGTTGTTCAGAACCTTGTTCTTACAACGGAACTATATTTTCTTCCTTTGGTTAAAATTATAAAATAGAACAAAATAAAAACTTATTTTCAAATCACATACCTTTATTGGAAGGGAACTCAGCATTACTGGAAAATTATCATTAAGTTTACACTAAATACCTATAAATCTAATGTTTGGACTTGGCTCTTTACAATTATAGCTCCGAGTTATGTTTTGCACTAAATTAACTGAATAGTGTAATAACATTTTATTTGGTTCACATATTATTCCATTTGTCTGTAGCTTGGGCGCTCCACAATAATGATGTGAACTGTGCTTTTAAAACTTTTTCATTCATTAACTTGGCAAAATACTTTTATTTAACGCTAAAATGGCTCTTTTATTGTATTTTAAAGTTGCGAGTAATGTTTTTTAAAAAAAATTTGAAAGTTGAAAATTCATTTTTTAGTGTTAGTTGAGTCCAAAAGTTTAGTAATCTAAACTTCCAGTGTATTCAAAATAGATCGAGTATTTAAAATACTAAGTATTTTGCGCTGTTTTGCGCATCACGGTTGCTATGGTGCGTTGGAAGAAGTGGTTATTGTCTTAAACAGCAAGAGTAAGGATCTAATGAAACAATATTATTTATGAAATTAATTTGAGTCATTATAAAGAATTGATCAAGTAAAAAAAATAGCTTCTAAAAAATAAAATAAAATCTAAATTTGCATAGTTGTATTATGGTCTTTATTGATTTAGATTCTTTAGGAATTAAATAGTTAATACAATTTATTCTACACTAAAATTACTTTGCGGCATAAAAAACATGTTTGTCAATTTAAGTTTTTTTTTAACTACACAATTATAGTTTGGACATTTCTGCTCTCAATTTTTTCAGTATTTCATAATTTGGACCACTTCTAGGCTTTGGGCTTTGATTTCCAGGTTCATCTAGTTTTTTCTCACAGCCACTTCCAACATTTTGATGGCTGTACAGTCTTAATAAAGACCCAAAATACTTAATATGAGGATGTAACACCTATGAATATATAAAAACAATTTAGTATAAAATTAAATTAAAAATATTTTTATGAGTAAACCTTTAATAAAGCTTGAGCTCCTTTTTGCCGTCCTTCACGTTTATTTTTACAAATAACAGTGGCAGAATGTTCCTTAACAGTCATGGTGCAACGATAAAAAATTTCAGAGTCAGATCCACTTTGCATACTTTGCATTTCACACTTTACATATGCATCTTCACCAAAGTTTCTACAATTTAAATACAAATAAATATTAAATCCAAATAATCCAACTATAATATAATATAAGGTATTTACCTTTTTACACAAATTTGCAACATATCATATGGCATAGATTCGGCAGCTTGAGCACAAAATTCTGGTATTCTGGAGTCTTTAATGTTTAGTTTATCAAAAAGCTAAAATACCGTAATATTGTATGAATAAACTGATAAATTATTATATATTAGTAAATTACTAATTCTAGATAGTAGATATATTGGTACTCACTACATCTCCATCAAAATTACTACAACCTTGACGTTCATTCATTGCATGTCTACGGTTAATTTGAATATGATTTTTGACAGACGGCAATAGAATTTCTAGTGTAGCTCTAGCAGCATCAAGTTTTGCTTGTTTTTTGCTTGAACCAATTCCAATACCATATTGCATGCCATCTAGGATTACTGTTGCTAAGTAAGGATACCTGGCATTCTCTTAAAATATAACATACCAACAATTAATTAAATTTAATAACTTTTATCATTTAGTATTTTAAACTTACCAAGTTCTTTAAATTCATATGATGGCTGTGTTTTGAGTACACGTTGGATGTATTCGTGCAATATGCTGACATAGCTTTTACCATTTAAATTAATAGTCCATTGCTCTTCAGGATTGGATGTATTACAATCACTTTTAACTGAAATATAACAAGGTAATATAATTATACAAATAGGGAATTTGATTAATTTAATAAAAAGTTTATTTTAAGCTATACAATTTAATATTTATTATAAATAAAACAAAAGCTGGTAAGCGGATTTCGGTCTGCTGTACAGTAGGTTACAAGTGGGTCATTGTATAACGGATTGTATTAAATTTTAATTAAATGATATAATATCATTGTATAAGAAAAACGATTCTGAGCGGAGACTTTTTGTCAGTCTGGGTATTTTATATTGTTATTATTTTATTATATCATGTAAGTTGAATTAATATTATAATATTATTTTTTATTCGCTTCTATGGTAATAAACAAAGCGTTAAAAACTAAAATCCCATTTTTAGCGGTTTTTCGTGATTTGTCGGTGGTTTTTCTGTGGCATTAAATAACTATTGAGAAAATCGAACAATGACCTGTCTAAAGTATCATCTTGATCCAATTTGCTAAAAGATAAGGTACTAAATGTTGAAATTGAAGCACTCTTTCCGGTAGAAATTTTGTATACAAGATATAAAAAAAAAAAGGTGGGCAAGTGGGTGTCGCTCTGCTGTACAGTAGGTTACAAGTGGGTCATTGTATAATGGATGGTATTAAATTTGAATTCAATGATATAATATCATTGTATAAGAAAAACGATTCTGAGAGGAGACGGTATGACCTTCTAGGTATAAGACATATTATATACATATCTATGGTATTAAAAAAAACTAACCTATAATGAATTCCAAATTAATCATATCACAATATCCATTAGGTACTTATAACGCGTTATACACCAACAACAAACCCTGATACTATCATAGATATATATAGTAGATTACTTTAGAAATTTCAAGTACCCACGAATAATATTATACAATCACAACAAAATAACTAAAATCGTAATTCTTGGTTTAAATATGAAATTTTGTCTAAATTTGAAATTAAAATGTCTGTAAAAAATAAGTGTGTTTATATATTTTTTAGATTTTTTGGTTACAGTATGAATTATTTAAGAGAATCTTTGTTTTAAATTTTCAACTCTTAGTTATAAAAACTGAACATTTTATAATTTTTTAATTCCAACGATTGATAATTCTTGAGATTTTGATAAATTTTGTCAAAATTCCAACTTTAAATGCTTTTAAAAAAAAATCGTGCCTATGTATTTTTAATATTTTTCAACTGCTATTGTAACAATATATCAGGAGCCTTGTATTAAATTTTTACACTTTTTGGCCCAACAGATAGAACTTTATTGATATTTATAGAAAAAAAAACTAAAAAAAATTGAAAGCTGTAAATGTCCATAAACAGCTCAAAAAGAGTCAAAATATTTTCAAAATTGTATGGTGTATAGGAAATGCTAATATAAACATTCAGTGAAATTTTCATGTATCTACAGTTATTCGTTTTTGAATTACAACAAAATAAGGAAATCGCTACATGAGAAATCGAGTGAAAATCCAATGTTGTAAAAATTTGAATTTCAAACGCTCATAAAAATTTAATTTGACTGTCCGGTAGAGATTTTTTATTGATAAAGGTAGATAATCTTAAAAGGAATCTTGTGTTTCATTTTCAAATCTTAGATTTAAAAAGAAAAATTTTTACGAATTCTTAACTTAAAATAATTTGCTAATTTTCGTGATTTTTCCATATTTTGTCAATTTTTGAACTTTAAATGCTTATAAAAAAAAATTGTGACTAAGGATTTTTAATATTTTTCATCTGCCTTTGAAACAACATATTAGGAGCCTTCTATTAAATTTTCAAGCTTTCGCAACTAACAAATAAAATTTTATTGATATTTTTAGAAAAAAAACTAAAAAAAATGGAAAATGAAAATGTCCCTAAACAGTTCAAAATAAATCAAAATATTTTGAAAATGTTATCGTGTATAGAAAATGCAAATATTAACAACCAGTGAAAATTTCATGTATATACGTTCATTTGTTTTAGAGTTACACCAATAACCAAAATCGATTTTTTGGAAAACCAATTTTGCGTAAAAATTCCCGTTTTTCCTTAATTTTTATGTTGTTTTTCCCGGTGCTTGTGAAAACTACTGGGAAATTTATACTTTTGACCCCCCAAAGTACCAACTAGATTCACTTTCCTATCAGAAAAGCTACTGATGAAGAAAATCCAAGCACTTTTACTGTCCTAAAACGTGATGACAGACACAAAAAAAAATAAAAAAATAAAAATAAAAAATAAAAAAACACACATCATTGTAAAATCAATACATTCATCGTTTCACTCAGAATCTAAAACAAATTAAACACCATTGTAAAACCACTAGCTTCTTCGCTCCGCTCAGAATCTAAAATATTTAATAAAATAAAAATAATACAGTGTATATTCAACTATGTTGTATTGACACTTGTATACTTCTTCAAGCAGTCTGAATATCAGTGGTATATTTTAGATTTTTCATAAAAGATGGAATTTTGTTAATTTAAAAATTATTTTATAATATATAACAATTGATAACTATAATTATTCAAAGAAAAAATGTTTTAACTTGGCTCAAGGAGAATTAACCCGAATGATCTCTTGCCACATGCACATTGCACGTATACAATTAATTAACTAATTTGCAGCAAGTTGTATATAGAATATTCAATCTGTCAAACAACAAAGAATACATCTATACTCAGTTCAGGTTAAGATTGAACAGCGTCCCACATGCAGACTGAGCCACCGAACAGTGCCTGACCCCCATGCGATGGCTATGCGTTCTGTGATTGGCCAGAGCTGGCTGCCGTGCATACGCTCTCACCGTTATCCGGAATGAGCGAAAAAAAAACATGTTTTGGTCGATCGAGCAGTTCAATCTTAATCTGAACAGAGTATAGTTATATTGATAAAAATTAAAAACAACAATTAAGTGTAAATACCGGTAATAGGTAATTACTATAAATATTGTTTGATGTTATAAAAATTACAATTGAGAATATAAATGATTCATTATTTTATTTTTTAGGCATAATGTCTAGAAGAGACACATATATTAATACAATATATAGGATAAGAAATGCATTAAAATCTCATATATTTTCTGCCATAATTTTACTGTAAACGATTAATCATACATTATTGCTAATATAATAAAAATTTAAAACACTACTTAGTGGATCTTGACAGAACCTACAAATGATTTGGGTGCAGATATCTACATTTTGTACGCCATATATTAAAAAATTCTGCTAACACTATTAATATACATCTTGTACATTTAGTTATAGCATTAATAGTAAATACTAAAAATAATTATTCACTCACCATCTGGTTCTTGAACTGGAAACGACATTAAATGAGACTTGTCTTTTAATTTTGGAAGATCTTTACGCCTTCGATCAGCTTTTACCATTCTAATATATTCACGTCGCTTATCCCAAGAACTAAACAAGATACATAATTTACACTAACATTCCATAGTTTTAAATTTTAATAAAACAATTTCCTTACCTAAATCTCATAAATTTAATATTTTTAAATTTGAATATTTTACTACAATATTCTCGATATTGTTCATGACTTAATGTTACAGGACATTCTGCAAACAATTAAGAAAATTAAATAGATAATAGAAGACTAGTAACAACAGATATTTAATACTAGTATTACTGTTCAACTCTTCATCATTTTCCGCATTCATTTTTTGTAATTTTAGTTTATAATCTAAGCAAGGAATATTTGCCACTGGAATATTATGGTTCTATAGAAACAACGAATACATTAATTTTGTAAAATGAAAAAAAAATGTATATTAGTTTATATGTTGATAGTTACTTTGAGACTGTTGACCCCGAGAAAATATGGTTTTGAAAATGAACAAACTTTCATTTCTTCATTTAAATAAACCGGCATACCACTGTCATGATTACATTTTATCCATCCTTCTGGTAAATCATCATCAATACATTCATCTTCATCTAACTCTAAAATATATCAATATTGGTAAATGTCATAAGAAAAAAATTATTTAAGAAAGTTTGAATTTACCATATGTTATGGATTCAACCTCAGAAGTTGACTCAGTATTTTGGTTTTCAAGTTTCACTGTTACATTTTCAGTTATAATCTAAATAAAACAATTAATATATTAACATTAAGTTAGGTGTACACTACTAAATATTGAGACATCAAAATATAAATTAATAAATCTAGTATTGATGGAGACAGATGAAGCAGATATCTGTTACGACAAATTATTAAATCTTTCTTTATAAATATGAATTATAAAACAAATAATTATTAGTTAAAGTGCTTTTGGTACCTGCTGCTGATCATCACATTCACGTATAATTGGCATGGATTCATCATTTATATTTTCTTCTTTGGAACTACAGCTGCTGGTTTCAGACATCATTAGTGGACACCAGATAGGACAGATTAAGTGCTACCAGAAGTATTTCACTGATTGGCAGTAGTGAATTTGAAACAACACAATAACAGCGCACAAAAGTGTCAGCAAATTGATCGTTTATATGAGAGGTGTCAATACGACAGCGTTAACTAAGATTAGCTGCGATATAAAAATTGTTGCACAGTACAAACAATAGTTGACGCACGACGTACAGACACCTGCCTTATGACTAGACACACAATAATCAATACTTAGTAATGTGTTAGTATTTTAATTTTATGCTACTTTGGTGGTAATATGTACTGTATACTGTTAATAGCAATTAATACGTTACTAAACAAATTGTGTCGAAAAGTTACGGAGGTAGGCTGTAATCAGAATTATACAATAGAATTAATAATAAATTATTACCTTATATAATACATAAGTTATTAGTAAGTACTATTGCCCGCAGTATCGTGATTTACAACGAAACTTAAAAATTCTATGAAGACTACTATAATATGATGTTTTCGATAAAGATTTAAGAGTAATGTCTGTGAAGTTAGCTCCCGGACGTTTAGCAGTTATCAATTCTGATAAGGTAGGTAACCGTATTCCTGTATACTATATTGCCTATTCATATCTTACTAGGAGTCTTAACAAAAATATTTATTAACACTTTTCTTAAGTTTGGTTTCACGTCTGTCTGTGATCAAATCTTGCGCGCTCGATTTGAGGCACTTTTTGAAGATGAAAAATTCTGAAAATTGGTATAGACCTTGGTCTTGGATGACAATACAATAATCCGTAAAAAAATTTTTTAACTAAAAAGTAGAAAATAAAAAATTAAAAAATTTCTTTTAAAAAACACTTTTCTAAAAAACAAAAAAATAATGAAAAATTTAAAAGTGTGTGGCGCTCTTACACTTGACATATTATACCACATACTTTTAAATTTTTCATTATTTTTTTGTTTTTTAGAAAAGTGTTTTTTAAAAGAAATTTTTTAATTTTTTATTTTTCAGATATACCTACCTAATTCAAGATGGAAGAATGATAATTATTATAATTATTAAGATTATAATATTATTAAATATTAATAAGTGACATGTCATACTATATTAATGCAATTAATAAAACAAACAAAATTCTGAACTACCTAGTATGAATATAATTCCATAAAAATTGATAGTAATTAAAATTTTTTTTTGCAAATATTGGATTTCATAAACAGCTATTGTTTTTACTATTTTGAGTAAATAAATCTAATTTGAGTAAATATATACTGCAAGTGATATACATCTTATAATGTAAATATAGGCATCAATAGACAAAAATATTGTACCAAAATGAGAATAGAAAACCCTAAACCTACAATTATTACGAAAAGTATTAAGATCTTCTACAGGTGCATTCCAAACAGTCAAATCAAATCAGCTTTAAGGAAAAAATGTATATTATCCGATAATAACCAATGGTCACCAATGGTCACCAATGGTCTATAATAATATTCAAAACTAATTTAACATTTGATAAAACTACAGGGTCAACAATGGGGAACGAGCTTAAACATTTAATCATAGAATGAATAACAATTAACTAGATTATATATAATTATGTGTTAAAGACCTCGCATAATGATCTTAAATTAATAATTATCAAACTTTTACAAATAGCTTTTAAAAAATAACATTTAGTATTCTTGGAATAACTTGATAACAAATATTTTTGAATACAATTGTATGTACACATAAAAAAGGGGATATATCATTAATTGTTCAATACCCTGTTAATGAACATTACAAATAACAATCCTCCTTAGTTATTAAAAGTTAAAACAAATCCAATTTAACACCCCACATAATTTAGTAGACACAATAAGGATGATTCTACTATAAAGAACATTTTGGAGGGACGACTCAGCATGAAAAACAAAATATATGTAGGTACACCGAATTATATTTAATTGAGCAGGCATCAAATAAAAATTCGGAATCTGTAGTTTTCCGAAAGGGCCACGGTAGACTTAAATTACAGGAGTATAAAACGATATCAACCATACGATTTTTGCGATTTACGTGCCATGCGGCTGCAAAGTTGGTCTAATAGGACGGCTTTTTCAAAACGAACACGGAAACTTATGTTTTTCAGACCATTTTAAGGCAAAAGAGCATTCAGCATAGATTTGAAAATTGTAGTTTTTGGATGGGGCAATCAGGGGACTTAAAAGCGGCCTCTAGGAAAATAAAAGTATATACATATTATACGACTTTCATGACATACAGGCAAAGCTGCCACGGGTATACTTAGAACAGAATTTTCGAAATTACACCCAAAATGCTATTTGTCAAACCATTTTGAAACGAAAGGGCAACCAACGCAGTTTCAAATTTTGTATATTTCGAAGGGGACACTCGCGGGACTTGGGCTCCAGAAAAATAATAAGATTAAAACTATTAGATATTTATGAGTTTAGAGGCGAACTGGCTACGTGGTATACTTAGAAAATATTTTTCGAAACGAACACCCGAATTGCGAATTGTCAAACTATTTTTAATCGAAAGGGCAACCAACGCAGTTTCAAAATTTGTATATTTCGAAGGGGGCACTCGGGGGACTTGGGCTCCAGAAAAATAATAAGATTGCAACTATATGATTTTTACGATACTGCCGGATTTCGACTGTGCGTTGTACTTAGAACGGCTTTTTCGAAACGAACACGGAAAAATATGTTTTCCAAACCATTTTTAATCGATAGTGAATTCAATAAAGATTCAAAATTTGTATATTTTGGAGGGGGCACTCGGGGGACTTGGGCTCCAGAAAAAAAATACGATTTACATTATACGATGTTTACGATACAGCCAGATTTCGGCAGCGCGGAGTACTTTAGAAGGCTGTTTTCAAAATGAACACGGAAAAATATGTTTTCCAAACCATTTTTAATCGATAGTGAATTCAATAAAGATTCAAAATTTGTATATTTTGGAGGGGGCACTCGGGGGACTTGGGCTCCAGAAATATAATAAGATTGCAACTTTATGATTTTTACGATATTGCCGGATTTCGACTGCAGTTGCGTCATTTCAGTTTTTATTAGACTAGGGCAATTTTTCACTGCTTTTCCGACTCAACATTTTGTTCACTCAGATTCTCATAGCATAGTGCCATAGTGGTAAACGGGGGGGGGGGGGGGGGGGCGTGTGCTAAATGTGCCGACTTAAGGTTGATGTAAATACTAGACTGGGGCAAATGCCCCAGTTGCCCTCCCCTAAATGACGCTACTAATGCGGCGTACTTAGAACGGCTTTTTCGAAACGAACACCCGAATTGCGAGTTGTCAAACCATTTTTAAACGAAAGGGCAACCAACTCAGTTTCAAAATTTGTATATTTTGGAGGGGGCACTCGGGGGACTTGGGCTCCAGAAATATAATAAGATTGCAACTTTATGATTTTTACGATATTGCCGGATTTCGACTGTGCGGCGTACTTAGAACGGCTTTTTCGAAACGAACACCCGAATTGCGAGTTGTCAAACCATTTTTAAACGAAAGGGCAACCAACGCAGTTTCAAAATTTCTATGTTTCGAAGGGGGCACTCAGGGGACTTGGGCTCCAGAAATATAATAAGATTGCAACTATGTGATTTTTACGATACTGCCGTATTTCGACTGTGCGTTGTACTTAGAACGGCTTTTTCGAAACGAACACGGAAAAATATGTTTTCCAAACCATTTTTAATCGATAGTGAATTCAATAAAGATTCAAAATTTGTATATTTTGGAGGGGGCACTCGGGGGACTTGGGCTCCAGAAAAAAAATACGATTTACATTATACGATGTTTACGATACAGCCAGATTTCGGCAGCGCGGAGTACTTTAGAAGGCTGTTTTCAAAATGAACACGGAAAAATATGTTTTGCAAACTATTTTTAATCGATAGTGTAACTAACGCAGATTCAAAATTTGTATATTTTGGAGGGGGCACTCGAGGGACTTGGGCTCCAGAAATATAAAAATGTACACATATGGTTCGATTTTTTCAATTTCCGAGCAAAGCCACTGCTTGGTGTATTTTGGAAGGCTTTTTCGAAACGAACACGGAAAATTATGTTTTGCAAATTACTCGAAAGAGCGTCTAATAGAGATTCAAAATATCTACTACCCAAGTGCGGCACGTGGGGGACTTGAGCTCCAGAAAAATAATACGATATAAACGTATAGTTGATTACGATACATGTGCCACGCGGCTGGGAGGTGTATTTCCCCGCGCTAGTTAAAACTACTGTGAATTTTAAATTTTGACCTCCCCAGTGCACCAACGGTATTCACTTTCCAATCGAACAAGATACTGAAGTTTAAAATCGGAGCATTATTTCGACTACTTATCGTGTACACAGACAAAAATAAATAAAAAAACACACATCATCGTAAAATCAATACATTCATCGTTTCACTCAGAATCTAAAATTTAAAGTACCTACGCAAGAGTTAAGAACACGGCATTATTCAATTTAAAGCAAATAAATATATTTTTTTCTATGTATTATGCAGTTATATACCTATTTAAATATAAACTCAATGATGACTAGGTACTCTGCCCATTTCTGGTTAATATGCTAAAATTTATATTTAATGGTAAAATAATTTAACAAATACAAATATACAATATTCTATAAGACTATAACTTTATACATTTCTTCATTGTAATTTAAAATATCAATTAAATTATGTATATAAAATTATAGAAAAATATTTAAATACATAAATAGCATTACAAAATGAAATTTATCCACTTTATATAAACAAACCTATTTTAGTATTAATAGTTTAATTATTAGTTTACATTTTAATACTAACTAATACTAACTAAGTTTACATTTACCCGTAACTTATAACGTTAGATTTGAAAAAAAATGACCAGTTATAAATTAAAATTGTATTTTATGACTATTATCAGTTAAACATATATTTCTATAAATTAAACCAAAACATATGTCTTTTTCAAGTAAACAATTT